GTCCAGGGCGTCCCAGAGGGTCCGTGTGAGAAGGGGGCCCGCAGGGACCCCAACCCCACCGCAGGACCCCAAGCCCACGGTGAGTGTTGCGACTCCATCTCGCGCCGTCGAAGCTTGGCCGGTGCCCACCCAGATGGACCTGGGACGCCGACCCCTTCACCTCCTGCGTGGGTACCTCCAGGCGGCACTGGGAGGCCCCCAGGCGGAGGGCGGTGGGAGGTCGCAAAGACTCGCCCCCGGCCCGGGGAAACTGAGGCCGGTGCGAGCTCGGAGGAGCAGATCTCCGGCATTTCTACCCGCGCCCCGCTGTGCGCCCTCCCCCCGCTGTGCACCCTCCCCCAGGAGCACAGGAGTGGGAGGGGGTCGGGGTCGGGGCGGCTGGTCAGTCTGCCGCGGGGCTGGGATCCGGCTGAGGACCCTGAAGACGCTTTGCGGTGTTTCCCAGGCAACCGGCCGGGAAGGAAGACGCCCCAGCGCACCGTCCCTCCCACCCTCCCACGATCCTCGTAGGACCCTGGCCTCCCCAAAATCCGAGTCAGTGAAAGCCCCGCCCATCTCCTTCACCTACCCCAGGGTGCTAGGGGGGTTAAAAATATACATACTCATCTGATCATCTTCCGAACTTCCTGGACCACCCTCCCTCCATTGGGGGAAAGACCCCTACAAAACCGGTGGGGGCCCAGGTTCCCGTGGGCAGCACGGAGGGGTTGGGGAGGGGGGTCAGTGAGCGAAGTGGGGGGGAGATGTTGCATGGAGAACGTTGCGTGGAAACAGGTAAGGACGGTAAGAGGGGACCTCGAAGGAATAACGAACTCACGGGGTAAAATCATTGTTCATGCGTTCATTCCAGAAGCATCTAGCTACCCTTGACAGCTGGTCTCATGGAGCTCTAAGAACACTTGCAGAGCTGGTTAAAATTCATACTCCTGGGCCCCTCCCCAGGGAGCAGCATTTGTAATGGGCATCGCCCTTCGGTTGTGCAGGCTTACACTGTTTGGGAAGTCATTGGGGCCTGGGAGAGATGGGAATCAGGAATCAATGAAAAAGAGGGGAAGGGGTAACAGGGGCCAGGCTGGAAAGAGAAGACCGAGAAGATGGCATGGAGAACTGGCATGTGAGGCCAGACACCTGCCACTCCCTACCCCCACCCCCAAGTTGCCAGGGACCTGATTTCTGTGAGAAGGGCATCCAGCGCCCTGAAGGTGTTTATCCCTCTGAGGATGCCCAGCTGGCCACGGGGACACTGACGGAGGAGGCCGATCTGGCTTTTTGGTTCAGCTCAGCCACCCCAGACTCACCTGCCTCAGAACCACCGAGAGGCTAGTGGGAGACAGCCTGGTCTGGAGCTTTGGGTTTGAATCCTGGCTCTGAGCAGGTCACCCCAGGCCTGGGCTGTGAAATGGGGCATCCACTTTGCAGAATTGTCATTTCCCATTCACCCCGGCCCTTGGAGACAGCTAGGGGACCAAGTAGACCCAGCCATTTGGCTTGGCCCAGTGCCAACATGGCTGGCCTCAGTTTGCTGGCTGGACCAATGGGAGCTGTGGTTCTGGCCCTGGTGCCTGGGCACTAGCAGGGATGTTCTGTCTGCTGTCCAGGCCCTGAGGGTTGGAGGCAGGGACAGCTTGGGAAGCCGTCCCGCTGGGGCCCATCACACAGGTAGAGGGCTCTGTAGCTCTGCGCCAGGCTCACTCCTGCCCCATATGGGCTGAGGGGCCTTGGCAGCCAGTGAGTGCTTCCTGGGGCGCTGGCCGCAGGCCCACGGTTGAAGCTCTGGGTGAGGTGCTGGTTGGCTCCCAGGGCCGGGGCTGTTGGGTGCCAGGAGATCATCACCAGCCCAGGATCCCAGGGGAACCTGAGGCGTCTCTGAGCACTCGGAATGAGCCATCACTCCCAGACACCTGTGCCCAGACACCACTGTGGCCCCCATCTCGGCATTGGGCTAAGGGAGGAGGGAGGTACGGTCAGAAGAGGAGTAGGGTGGCCCACCTAGACTCTAAGACTCAGGATGTGCCAGGAGCCTAGTGCTTGGACACAGGACCCAGGGGGACCTGGCCTCCATCTCAGGCTGCCTGCTGGCTCTGCGGCCTTGGGCAGCTTCCTAACCCTGGGGCCTCAGTTTCCTCATCCTGATGAGGGGAACAGAGCAGCACCCCTCTCCAGGGCAGAGCATTATGCAGTGAGATGCTGAGTGGAAAATACAGGTAGGGTGCTGCCCCCCCACCACCGCCTTGAACATTTGGTTCTCACAGACACGTCCATCCCTGCAGCTCAGGCCACTGGGCTCCTGCGTCACGTTTGCCTGTGAGATGTAGAGCCCCTGTAGCCCCTGTCACATGCAGACACAGCGGCTGGCGGTTGCCCTGGCAACAGCTCAAGCAGCCGCTGCTACTCTGGCTTTGGGGGCTGCAGAGGGAGCAGCCCCTTCCACTCAAGTGGAAATGACAGTGGCCCTCTGCCCAGGCTGATGACTTAGAGAGACCAAGTGACTTGGCACAGTCCGGGGTCGGGGGTGATCTCCCGGGCCTCTGCCCTCCCAAACCCCCCTGCCTCTGGTGGCCATGAGAGTGCCAGCCCTCTCTTTGCCGAGGTGCCCTCTTCTCCTGCCTCAGGCTGTTCCCAGGACCATGGCTTCTGTTGGTTTTTGGTTAATTTAGTAATTGCTAAATCTGTTGTGCGAAGCTTCTTGGGGAGTGTATGGCAATGCTGCTGAACTAATGAAGGAACGGAGGACCGGAAGGCACAGCCGTGCTCTCTGCCCGCAGGCCCCCACCATGTCCACCTTGCTGGAGATCAAGAGCAGCGTGCTCAGGCAGGTGCAGGTCTGCCCGTCCTTCCGCCGGAGGACTGAGGAGGAGCCGGGGAGCGCCAGTGCTGACCCGCAGGAGCCTGCCACGGGGGCCTGGTGGGTGCCCCGTGGCCCAAAGGGAGCCCGGGAGGGTCTGTGCCCAAGAACATGGGGTGCCCTGTGGACATCGCGCTGTGCCCCAAGGCCTGCCTTCAGTCATGTGGGCTGGGGGCTGGTCCTGAGCCGGCAGCGTGTGCTGGGAGCCCTGAGCTTTGGGGAGGGTCTGTTGATCCCACGCCTGGCCTTTCTCGGCAGGAAACCAGGGGATGGCGTGGAGTTCTTCACCCAGATGCGCCTCATCCTGAAGAAGGAGGAAGGCAGACGGAGCCTGCCATGCCCTGAGGTGAGGATGGATCTCGGGCACTGCTGTGTAGCAGGGGGGGCATTGTGCCAGGCCTCCTCACCTGCCCCCTCCACATCTGGCCTCCATCCCTCCATTCCCTCCCTGGATCACCCCCCCACCCAATCAGCCACAGGACCCCCACCTTCGGAGACCCTCACCCCAGCACCCCCTCTTAGGTCCTATTGCGCAGCAGCTCGCCAGCCCCCACCGAGCCTGTGGACCCCAACCGTGGCCTGAGAGCCCTAACCCAGGAGGAGGTAAGAGGGATGGGGTTCTGGCCCTAGGGTGAGGCTGCGAGCACCTATTGTGTGCAGGGCTCAGAGTCTGGGACTCGGTGGACAGTAAAGGTGTCTGGGTGGTGGGCCAGGCCTCCCCATGCAAGTGAGTAAGGAGCAGAGGTCAGGGATGAGTAACAGCCCCCAGCAGAGGGCTAGGCAGGTGCAAAGGCACTGAGGCAGGGCGTGGATCTCTGCCAGTGGGAGGAGCTGCTGAGGACTGGGGGCTGGACACATAGAGGGTGGGCCCAAGGGGCCTAAAGGGAGACAGGGGTGTGGTGGCAAGGGACTCAGGGTGTGCTCCCCACACCACCCACAGGTAGAGATGCTCTATGAGGAAGCCTTGTACACCGTCCTCTATCGAGCAGGAACCATGGGCCCCGACCAAGTGGACGACCAGGAGGCCCTGCTGAGCTACCTTCAGCAGGTGAGCCCCATTGGCCCGGTCTGTCCTGCTCTGAAAAGGACCGGGACCACTGCCCACCACTGACATCACTGTCAGTCACCTGAACAACACACACATGTGCACCATGTACACAACATACACGATGTGTGTGTGCACAGACACACACACATACAGGCTGACCGGCACACCGGAAGGGTGGACACACACACGCACACACAGAAGGGTAGGAAGGACAAGCAGACACATCTTTTCTCTCACCTGTGTGCTACCCCCACCCATGACATTTGCAGTCGGGCATCCCTGTCTGGGGCCATGCCTGAGGCCCCCACGGGGATGGCCGGCCTTGCTTTGGGGGTCACCTGGGCCCTCACACCTGCCTGCCCCACACAGGTGTTTGGCACCAGCCCCGAGGAGCATGCAGAGGCCATTGAGAGAGTGAAGAAGGCCAAGGTGAGGCTGCCACCTGCCTGTGCAGAGCTGACCAGCCACATGCCCATGTTCAAGGACTTGGGTGGAGGGCACAGGGCAGGGCTGAACCCCTAGAGGCTCCTCAGCACCTCTCTGCCCACAGGCCCCCACATATGCCCTGAAAGTGTCCGTCATGCGTGCCAAGAACCTGCTGGCCAAAGACCCCAATGGTGAGCAAGGACTGGCCCGGACGTGTTAGCTGCTCCCAGACCTGGTTACTGTGGAGAGGAGGGGCGCCTGGGGTCAGGGACTGAGGCACTTACTGTGTCCCAGGCTTCAGTGACCCATACTGCATGCTGGGCATCCTGTCGGCCTCGGGCACCCCGCGGGAGCCAGGCCCGCACAAGGAGCAGCGCTTCAGCTTCCGGAAGGGTGCCAAGCGTGGCAGCCCGCAGCCAGCGAAGAGCATCCAGGTCACCGAGGTCAAGAGCAGCACTCTGAACCCTGTCTGGAAGGAGCACTTCGTCTTGTAAGCCCCCTCACCCAGCAGATGGTCAGGGAGGCATTGCCTGCAGTGCCAGCCCAGCCCTGGGGTACACGGGGGTGGCTGTGACCAGAGGGTGACCCCTGTAAGTAGCCTCAGTGCCTGCCTAGGAAACAAGGTGGCTTCATATGCCCACTTGCTAGAGGAGAAACTGAGTCTCAGAGAGATCCGTGTCCTCAGGGCCACACACCCTGTCATGGACGCTTCCCTGTGTCTCCTAAAATGGTCCCTGCCCAGCCCTGGGCAGCCCCTCACGGATATCTCTATTTTCCTTGTAGTGAGATCGAGGATGTCAGCACGGACCAGCTGCACCTAGACATCTGGTATAGACCCTGTGCCCTGCAGGCAGGGGCTGTGGGTGCCTCTGGGCTGAGGGTAGTGGGAGGGGGCACTCGGGGCTGGGCTGGGCTCCAGACAAGCCGGTGCCCCCTTCCTCAGGGACCATGACGATGATGTGTCCCTGGTGGAGGCATGCAGGAAGCTAAATGAAGTCATCGGCCTGAAGGGCATGGGCAGGTACAGCAGGTGGGACCCTTGTGCCCTCCCAGTGCTGGTGGCTCCCCAGAGACCACACGTGTGATGCCCACCCTGCTGTGCTCAGGTATTTCAAACAGATTGTCAAGTCAGCCCGGGCCAACGGGAAGGCGGGGCCCACAGAGGACCACACTGATGACTTCCTGGGCTGCCTCAACATACCCATCTGGGTGAGTGGGTGCGGAGGCTTCACTCACGGAACACCTGCTTGCGGGTGCCTAGGCTCTGGGGCACTGCCAGTGGCTGTGTCCTGTAATCCCCCCAGAGCCCTCCATCCTTCTAGGGCCATGGGGGAAAGCCTCACTGAAGGGGGGCGCAGGGCCAGTCTCCTTGGGACTCTGTCCCGGCACCCCTGAGTGCTTACTCTGTGCTAGTCACCCCAGTCCCCTGGGAAGCGTGGAGGCCTGTGTTCTCCCCACAGCCCCACAGCATCTGAGAACTCGCCATTCTGAATCCCCTTCCTGCAGGAGGTGCCCGTGGCTGGCGAGGACCGATGGTTCAAGCTGGAACCACGCTCCAGCGCCTCCCGCGTGCAGGGAGACTGCCAGCTAGTGCTCAAGCTGATCACCACGCAGGTGGGGAGCCGTGGGGACCCGGGCCCTGCACCCCAGCCCATGGCTCGGCCCCTGATGAAGGGCCCTGTGTTCCAGAGGGATACGGGCATGAGCCAGCGCGGGCGGTCGGGCTTCCTGTCCTATCTGCTGCTGCTCAGCCGTCTGCTGCAGTTCGAGCACCGAGCCGAGGAGGTAGAGGCGCCCTCGGGTCCCCGCGGCAGCTGGGTAGGGCCTGGGGAAGGCAAGCGACGGGACCGCAAGCGGGAGGGGATGGGGGTCTCCCACCTCCACCCACGCCCAGTCCCTCCCCCAGCCCAACTCCAGCAGCTGGCGGGGCGGGCT